CAGTCCAGCTAGCTCTGACAACTTAAAAGAAAACTACGGTGCCATGTACTTACCTAATCCAGTGTGTTTCACACTTCAGAGAAGGTAATCTCATAGCTACTAAATACAGTGAGGGAGCAATAGCTGACTCACCTCAAGTACAAAATCAAAGCGATAATGTACCTCGGCTGGAGACTGTACTTTTCGCAGGCGGAGATACCATGTACCGGCGCTCACTAGCTCTTTAGGGCCTGAGCTAAATCAAACTAAAAAGGGAAAGCGGCTTTTTCTCTACAGAGACCTATAAAAGAATCAAACGACACTCGCGTAACAAAGAACTAAAAATTCAAGACCGCACAATGCAATGAATTAAGATGCCTTGCAAAATGCAAGGAGCGTACGGTCCGAGGAATAATCTTCTCGTGACGTGGTCTCGACCGCTTTCATTCACAGACAAATAAACTGCATCAAAAGGACTCTTTCTTTCATTGACACCAAAAACACAAGAAGGAGATACCGGCAAATGTATGTACAAAAAAATCTTGCACTACAATTGCAAATCATGAAATGACTTAATCATCAACCATGACTGGTTGTCCATTAGAGGTCACTTCATAAGAGCGGTGGTGATAGATATCATCAGTTATGTAAAACTGTCCATACCTATCTACATGCTAAAGCGTATAAACCTGGAATGCAGGAGTATCTTCTTTGATAAAAAGTTTCTCCTCATTGCAAACCAGAATTTATTAAAACTTCAGCCTGGCAACTTAAAGTCAAGCCTGGAAGCAAAGTATCAACTGTAACCAGAAGTCTCTTCACTTCCTAGCCATCATTTAAATCTCAGCTTTCGCTCAGGAATTATGCCGCTGCAAACGATGAAGTTGCTTGATCAGAAGTTGGCGGCCTTCCTTTCTTTCTATTCTGCTTCTGTCTCTCCTTCCTCCGCACGTTCGCCTCATGAAGCGTTGCTACCATGCGATACTGTCTTCTGTCTCCAGATGAAAAGGAAGCTGGTCTGAGTGAAATAAACATTGGACCATGACTGTCCTCGTCAGTGGGCCTTGAGCACATAACCTCTGTGTCAATCATAGCAAAGTTCTCTGAAAAATTACAGATGAACTCCTTCGTGCTCACTGTGGAATTTTCATATTCCTCTTCACTCATTGAATGACCCCATTCAACAATGGTAGACAAACATGTATCGCCAAGCCTTGATCCTTGGTATTCTTC